TTAATGTAAATTTCAACTTCAGATATACTACATTAACTAATGAAAGACAGAGAGGGCATATATATTCATAGACTTCATATCAAGTATATTATACTTTTTTAAAGGTCGGTGGTCGTCGCGCAAAGCGTGTTAGAATTTCATGTAAATAAGCAACGCATTTTACATGCATTGTATAGATCGTTACGAGTCCCATATCGAACAGGACGCGACACGACGACCATCGCCCTTTGATGAAAAAAAAATCTAAAAGAAATCTGTCTTTAACACCTGGCTAGTTCGCTACCATGGCGCGTAGTTAATTATATTTACGAAACAAAACAAACGTTTGTTAGTCTTCTACTATATGTCTAAACGTTGTCAGTAATTCGACTAGGCAATTCATATGAATACCATGACGTAAAATACAATAATCGTATAGAGTTAGAAACGACACATGCATTTAAATTCGTATGTGTTGTTTTTTCACGTGGATGCTGTCGGCGAATTCAAACTCTCCAGGTGTAAACACAATCACCGGAGTGTCGAGAGGATCAGTATTAAAATCAAACCAGTATATTATGAAATAAAAAAAATGGGATAAAGAAATACCAGGTTTTGTGTGCGCTCAACTATAAACAAATCTAAGCTACGTGACATCAACCGCCCAAGTTGGCGACGCTCTTCTACACAACGTTTTGGGAAGTTGGTTTCACGAAAACTCTCGCGATTTGGGTCCACTTATTCATATTTTATTTTTCGTATCAAACTGCATTTTCACAACCTCATCGTTAACTCGATGATCTTTCATTCTGAGACGTATAAAGTCACGTTTCCCACTGATTAGTAGCTATTTTAGATAAATTCGAATACGGAGACGTTCATTGTGGTTTGATTAGCGTATATCTCATCTTGGCTTGTCATTACCTCTTCACGGAATTCTATAAATAATATTTGCCTTACCTTCTATACCATGCTTACACATCGCGGTAATTTCCAGTACATTCATAAGTGTACAAGTCGTGCTTGTAGATTAGTCTGTTTCTGTTCCCGGATCGACGCTTGACCTTTCCATGTGATTATTCTTCTCTGTGAAGCCTGTGTTGAGGGCATTTCACGGCGGTTCTTTCCGTCGCTTCATTCTAAAATGTCATTCAATAGCCGTTGTGCCGCTCTGATCGCAATTGTAATAATTTTTTATCTATCGCCGCATTCAGTGATCTGATTTCGCTTATAATACCTACTCAACCAATGGTCCCGATTAACCAGGTCATTTTTTTTAGTGATATTGCTCTACTCTGTGGGGCCCTGTTGTAAATGTCCATTGCGCATCTCATTAGCATTGATCGTTGAAACCAGGAAACGTCGTGACGTACGTAACTCCCTCCCCGTCATCTCTAAGCACTTTAGTTTACTTTGCATACTCTTAGCGGCCGTGTATATGTGCTCGCATCGACGTCATTCATCTATTCAATATTTCACCATGGTAATGGGACTTAATTCTCTCCACTGAGAAATCCTTTATGTTGCCATGCTGACGTAGTTTGAATGGAAAGCAAATTGCCGCATCGCGATTCGACTCGCTCCGCACTACCGCTTCTGACGAGAGGCCCTCCTTTATTGCGACGGTGGTGCTGTGTAGTCTTGGCTGCTGCTTCTAATTCTCGTTGCTGTTCTACGCTTTAGCTAGGTGTTTTTCTTTGCTTTCCTTGATTTTCACTTCCCAGTCTTGACATGTGTGTATGACAAAACGAAACAATATAAGACTTGGAAATCACGGCGTTTCGTTGGCATTTTACGAAGTTCCAGGAACATTACTGTATCCACGACCGGTGTTTCTTTGCTTTACCAACGTAAGGTTATTCCGTTTCTTTGCTTCAAAACTACTACTATTGAGGTGAGGTTTTTGTTTCTTATTTTTTGAGCGTACGTGCCTTGTTCGTTACCACTGTTATTCCATTTTGTATAATAGGAAAAAAATGAATTTAGCAATTTATTTTTAAAATACTATGCGCCTGGAAATAATTACAATGAAATTAATCGGTCAAAATCAGTTTGTTTTTAATGTTTTACATGTCGCCCACGTATGTATGACGTAAACGGCAAAGTCGTTCTTCTGTCAGAATAGAAAAAAACACACTCTGCGTGGGATGACCAGATAAAAAATATATATATCTGTGAACTTTTCATCGTATCTTGACGGGAGGCTGCGATTAAAAACCGTCCTAAAATATCTGATTTATCTTTTCACTAGTGACGACGTGACGTCATTGAGGCGCGCGTGTGTTATCTCATTGATCAGTAAGTTGGCTTTTGTTCCCCACTGTTTGCCGCAATGCTAGTAACACATAGCTTTATGTTGTACCGTGGTAGGTTTTCTATTCAACATACACAAAAGATTTGTAAAATAGGATTGAGCAAGATCCATATCAGCACTTATTAGTATGTTTGCAGATGTGTTTATGGTAATCACAATTATTTCCTCCAATTATTTTAATTATTATTTCAAAAACCATACTCGCATCATCTTCTTGACACATGTATTTGTATTCTTAAATACTTTACGATTTAAAGTGATGACACTAAAAATAGCTTTTGCTACCTGGCAACCTATTTCAAATAAGGAAACTGTCGTTCAATATATTTACTTTGTTATTACAACATACATTTTTTTGACTAAATTTAACGTTAATTTTAAAATGTAATAAAATATAGATTAATTAATTTGTATTAAAAATGCACGTACTATTACAATTGCTATTGTGTATGTTATAACTACTTAATTGTGGCTTCGCTTCCTGTGGTGCATCTGAAGTAGACGTCCAACCCATCTTAATCAGATGATGAATTCTCACAATCTGCTGTTGAACTCGTCAATTCCATGAACTCAAAAATATACATTCTTGTAATTGTTCGTCATCTTATATTTGGGATATTTTATTTTTTTTATTTTCTTATGTATTGTTTACAAAATTGTACATATATTTGTGGTCATCATAAAAAATACGCAAATGAATAAACGAGATAAAGTAATTCCAATTAGTCAGTAAATAATTGAGGTAATTGGCAAACGGATACAGATAAAGTCACACGTTCGTCATTGTATTGTGTCGCTATTTTCAGGCTCATTCTACGTTATTAATGTGTTGAGTCACGCATGTCGATTACAATAATTTAATTAATTTGTTACCAAGCATATCATATTGGTTATGTTGAGGCAGACCCTCAGATTAGCGGCAGTCAAGCTTAGAATACCAATCTGTGTTTTTAATATGAAATCAGAATTAAAAAAAAAGCACTGTGTACCAATATTCATATTAAAAAAAATTCCTATATATCAGTTATTTTTTTATCCTTGGTAAAAATGTTGATGCTTTATTATGTGTGTATGACATCTGTGTGACACACTACATCACTGAAAAGACAAACATATCAATAACTCAATAAATATTTTTTAGATATTTTTGTTAAATATTACTTATTGATATACAAAGTATAAAGTTACGTTTCCCACTGTCATGATTAATAATGTCTAAAACAATTTATTTTGCAGTGATATTTATATATTAATGAAAAAATAAATTAAGTACACCCACTTTGGTGTCAGAATCAGAATACATATTTTATTTTCTATCTAACTTGCTCTATGATATCTCAATTAGTTTATATTTCCATAATTCAAGTAACATTTTAATATTGCATATTGATTTTTGTTGATTGGATTTTGGAACTTTTGAATTTGGCGAATTTTGTTCATTTATGGGTGAGTGGCAGTAGATAGGTGTGAGTAGACAATATACAGAGTCAATTTCAGCTGAGCCTCACAGTAAGCCATATACTGTCTATAGTGTTAACTTGTAGCGATGTTTGTAACACTACAATGTATACAACTACTTGGTCTTGAATTCACAAAACATTATAAATTTGTTTATGATCACAAAAATATATTTTCTTTGAAAAGTTTTTTATTGCTGCTCTCTCTGAAACCAATAAAACCATTTCTATTGTTAGGATTATAATTTGATAAATAAATTCCATGAATAAAAACCTTATAACTTTAACCTGCAAGAGCCTTGTAGCAATTAAACTGTAATGTTAACTGTGTCAACATCATTAATATTCCATGCAGTTAAGAACGCTGATCAATTTCTTGTGATGATAGAAATTGATTATGCAAATGCTTCAGATATAATTAACTGTCCCAAAATGTTTTAATTATCAGTGTTGAACTTTTAACATTTTCAGTGAATTGATATATTCAACTGTTAAGAAAATCAATATTCTATTTTATATGTGTTATATTGATTGTAATTTTTGAGAGGAAGTTATGTGTTTTTAGCTAACATGTTATTTTTAGCTAATCCGTAATTTTGCTAATTCAAGATGCAGCTAATTTAAAAGAAGTATGTTGATTTCTCACAATGAGATTGTTGGCACTTTAGCTTAATTAATATTCGAGTTTGTTAAAATGGCATGTAGCTATTTCAACATGCTTTACAGTAAACCTATATTCATCATCCTGTGCACTCTGTAAAACCTAAATTTATTTGTTGTCTCATTGCACAGTTTTTCTTTTACTTGCATTTTTGTTGTATATTTAGTGTAAAACCTGTAACTATACAGATTCACACTGTTTCTTTGACTGTCGTTCTACAACAGCTCGTGCAGAGGCGATAGCACAGTGGTACACATCTTAGAAACTTAAAATGACATAGCTCCGCGCTCGAAAATAATAGTTATCAATGCATTGGATACACCTGTACTATGGTGTGGTGCACTACCTTATGGAACATTATTTGATGTTTTGTAGTCAAAAATGTTTCATTATTAATACATGTACACAAATATTTGCATGTGTTGTGTACTAGATCTTAGAATTAGATTTATTCTGACCATAGACACAACTCTTGTCATTTACATGAGTGCACATACTAATAATAGAGCAAATACTACCTATGTTGACTTTTATTTCAAATAAGAAACTCAAGTATGACATGATAGTTGGCTAGTGTGACATGATAGTTGGCTAGTGTAACATGATAGTTGGCTAGTGTAACATGATAGTTGGCTAGTGTGACATGATAGTTGGCTAGTGTGACATCATAGTTGGCTAGTATGGCATCATAGTTGGCT